AATCGGGATGGGTGTGTCAGAGGCAATGTGATTGGCACAGGATAGAGTGGGGTTTAGGGCTGTTGTACATAGAGTCGCTATGAGTTGCAAATGACTCGACGGCACATAACAACAACATCTATTCATGCTGCCATTCAGATCTCAAACATTCATTGTTGTAATTGTTAAGTCCCGTCGAATCGACTCTTAGCGAGCCTAGGAACAAAATTTGTCCTATCATGTGCCGTCCTTATCTCTGACATAACTTTGTCAGTTCATCTGCTTGAGGGTCTTCCTTTTTCACTGACCCTTCTCCTTTCCTAGCACAATGCCCCTTTCCAAAGAATAACCCCTTCTAAAGTATTGCTTTGGGCAAGTGCGCTAAAAGGGACCTCTCCAAAATACGGAAGAGCAATGATGTCATTTTGAAGAGTAAGGTGCTCCTGATTCAGACCATGGGCTTTTCCATTACTTGCTATGCATTTGAGAGCTGAACAATGATAATGATTACAGAAAAATTGATGCCTTTGAGTTGTCATGTTGTAGAAGAGTACTGAATACACCATGGACTTCCAAAAGAACAAACAGGTTTGTCTTGGATAAAGTGCACCTGGAGTACTTCTTAGAGGCAAAGATGGCAAAGCTTCATCTCTCATACTTGGAGCATGTTACTGGGAGAGACTGTTCCCTGGAAAGGGGTATAATTGCTTAGAAGGGTGGAGGGTCAGCAAAAGAGAGTAAAACCCCCAAGAAGATGGATTGACATGGTTACTGCAGCAGTAGGTTCAAGTGTATCAGAGATGGTGAGGATGACACAGAATAGGATAGGATTCAGATCTGTTATTCATAGAGTCGCTGTGAGTCATACTTGACTTAACAACACCGAACAACATGCTCAAAGTATGTGATATGAAGTGTCACCATCCTTTCCACTAAGGAGCACTCTGGCTGGCTGTACTTTCTCCCAGACCTATCTGTTTATTCTTTTGACAGTCCAACAGATATTCAGTAGTCTCCAACACCACAATTCAGAGGCATCAATTTTTTTCTTCTGTCATCCTTTTGACTGTGTGAATCACAACAAGCTATGGCTGACTCTGAGAAGAATGGGAATCCCAGAACATTTGATTGTGCCAATGCGAAACCTATACTTGGACCAAGAGGCAGTCATCAGAATAGAGCAAGGAGACACTACATTGTTCAAAATCAAGAAGCGGGTCCATCAGGGATGTATTCTGTCTCCATATCTTTTCAATCTGTATGCAGAATAGATCATCCTAGACGATGGGCTGTATGAAGAGGAATGTGACATCAGGATTGGTGGAAGAGTCATCAACAACTGGCATTATGCAGATGACACAACCCTGCTTGCTGAAACTGAGGAGAACCTGAAGCGCTTGCTGCAGAAGGTCAAGAACTTAAGCCCTCATTATGGATTGAAGCTCAACATTAAGAAAACATAGATTCTCACCACTGGGCCTATTGGCAGCATCAGTATGGATGGTGAAGAGATTGAGACAGTTAACAGTTTTACTTTACTTGGGTCCATAGTCAACACTCTTGGTAACAGCAGCTAGGAAATCAGGAGACTAATTGCATTGGGAAAGTCAGCTGTGGGGGACCTCTCAAGAGTACTGAAGTGGGAAAAAAAAATACTGAAGTGCAACGACGTCAGCCTGGAGACTAAGGTGCACCTGACCCGGGCTACAGACTTCGCAATTACATGCTATGCATCAGAGAGTTGGACAGTGAATAGGGATGATAGAGAATTGATGCCTTTGAGCTGTGGTACTG